GACATAATAAATGAGGCTAATTTTGTTCTGCCCAAAGCTGATTAGAAGAGTAAGCTTAGCTGCCTTTATCAGAACAGCCACTCTGATAAGGAAGATGCTGAAACTGTTGTGAAAAGCTATGGCGATAGGCAGGAAGCACTGCCATTTTGCTTCAACACAGTGAATGCTAGCAATGTATACATGTAAATAAAATATCAGAATGAAAGGGAAGAAGTACCATGAGAAACATAAATAGATGTGAAAAAAATTCGTATAACAAGAGGAGAGGCAGGAATAAGTTAACTTTGAATCTAACATGAATTATTGCAAAGGGAGATGGATGGATATCCTCAATGAATATAAAGTAACTCCAATTAAAACATAAGAATTTAAAGATATCCTTTCATGGGGCACTGGGTGGCTCAGTTGGTTAAGCCTCTGACTCTTGATTTAAGCTCAGGTCATGATCTCACAGTTCCGGTTCAAGAGATCAAGTCCCCCATCGTCCCTCAGCCTGCTTGGTTCTTTCTCTCTCCCTCTCTCTGCTCTTCCCCAGCTTGTGCTCTCTCTGTCTCTCTCTCTCTCAAAATAAATATATAAACCTAAAAAAAAAAAAAAGATATCCTTTCATGATAAAAACTCTCAATAAATACTTTAAAAAAGCCTTATATGACAAGTCCAAAGCTAATATCATACTCAACAGTGAAAAGTTAAAAACTTTTCTTCTAATGGGGCACCTGGGTGGCTCAGTCAGTTAAGCGGCTGACTCTTGATTTCAGCTCAGCTTATGATCTCACTGTTTGTGAGTTTGAGCCCCAAGTAGGGTTCCCCAATGACAGCACAGAGCCTGCTTGGGAATCTCTCTCTCCCTCTCTCTCTGCCCCTCCCCTGTGCTCTCTCTCTCTGTCTCAAAATAAACAAATAAAAATAAACTTTTCCTCTAAGATCAGGAATAAGATAAGGATGCCCACTTCCAGCTCTCCTATTCAACAAAGTACTAGAAGTCCTAGCCAGAGAAATTAGGAAATAAAAAGGAAAAAAAAAAAAGACATCCAAATAAGAACAGAAGAGGTATAATTGTTTCTGTTTGCAGGTCACATATTGAAAACCTAGAAGACTTCACCAAAAAACTCTTAGAACTAATAAACAAATTCAGTAAAGTTGCAAGATATAATATCAAAGTACAAAAATCCCAGTTGTGTTTCTCTACACTAACAATGAACCATCTGAAAAATAAATAAAGGAAATAATGCCATTTACAATAGCATCAAACACATTAAAAACTTCGGAATAAATTTAACTAAGTAGTGAGAGATTTGTACCTGGAAAACTATAAGAGTTTAATGAAAGAGACTAAAGAAGACACAAATAAATGGAATGATATCCCATGTTCATGGATTAGAAAAATTAATAGTATTAAAATGTCTATACTACCCAAAGCCATGTATAGATTCAATGCATCCAATCAAAATTCCAGAGGCACTTTTTACAGAAATACAAAAAAAATCCTAAAATTCATATGGAACCACCAAAGACCCCAAATAGCTAAATCAAGCTTGAGCAAGAAATGCAAGCAGCAAGTGTCACACTTCCTGGTTTCGAATCATATTACAAATCTAGATAGTATGATACAGGCACAAAAACAGACACATAGACCAATGGAACAGAATCAAGAGTCTAAAAATAAGCCCACACATAGGTAGCTAAGTAATATTTGTCAAGGGAGCCAAGAATACTCAATAGGAAAAAGATAGCTTCTTCAATAAATTATGCTGGGAAAATTGGATATTTACATGCAAAAGAATGAAATTGGGCCCTATTATATACCACTCACAAAAATTAACTCAAAATGGATAAAAGACTTAAGTGTGTTTTTTAATTATTATATTTATTTTTTTATTTTGAGAGAGAGCGCGAGCTTACATAAGGGGGGGAAGGGCAGAGGGAGAGAGAGAATCTTAAGCAGACTCCATGATCAGCTCAGAGCCTGATGTGGGGCTCAATCTCATGACCATGAGAAAATCACTTTTTTTTTTTTTTTTTTTTTTTTTTTTTTTTTTTTAAGAGAGAGAGAGTGTGTGAAAACCAGAGAGAGGGGCAGAAAGAGAAAGAAACAAAGAGAATCCTAAGAAGGCTCCACACTCAGTGCGGAGACTGACATGGGGCTTGATCCCACGACCCTGGAATCACAACCTGGGCCAAAATCAAGAGTCAGACACTCAACTGACTGAGCCACCCAGGCATCCCTAATGACTTAAATATAATACCTGTAATGGTAAAACTCCTAGAATGGCACATTACACAAGCCAGGCCAAGTAGTCCTTCCCTGTGATTTTAATCTTGAACCTTGAAGCAAGATGTTTCTCTCCTCTTGTGTCCTTGTATTGGGATGATGTTAAATCCAAAAGCGCCTGGAGTGTACTCCCTGCCATTAGTGAAGGTTCCGCTGAGGGGGCTGATATGTGCCATGAGTTGATAGTGACTACCTGTGCCTCACAGTGTAGGAAGAGACTCTTAAAGGAAGTTGGTGGGAGTTTCCTAGGGTGACTATGCTTCCTAATATGTCAGATGTTTAACTGTCAGCCGGTGTTTCTCTGAGGAAACATGAAAGACCAGGGAAGCTGCATCAGAAGCGTCCTTGCCATGCTGTCTCCTGAGCTTAGTAAACTGTGAAACTGCCTACACACACACACACACACACACACACACCCCACTTGTGGCTGTATGGACGCTTGGTCAGTAGCAATTAATCCAATACACTACGTTGGTCTACATATGTCACAGTCTCTTCTGAAGGAGAAGAAAATGAGACCAGTAATAGAGAGAAACAGAGGTGAGAGCTGAGAAAGAACAAACTTTTGTTTCAGCAGCTGGACCCCATCATCCATGAAGCCAGATCCAACCTCACCTTTCCCAGTTGTATGAACCAATAAATGCTCTTAAGTTGGGTATCATTCTATTGCAAATGAATGTGGCCTCCTGCAGAAACTGGAACCAGGAGTGACAGACCTAAATGTAGAACTGCTTGGGTCAAGATAAGGAATGTAAGGCCTCCCTATCTTTGACTGAAAGCTGGAATCCTGGGTATATGAAAGTGAAGCAGTGGGTTAAACTGTTATCTAGTATTTTGTGCCTTAGGCAAAGCCCCCACCGCCCTCAAAATGGGAACTTGTATGGACTTGCCAGAAAGGCATCAGGATATTGGACTAAGAAAACCAGATGACCCAGAACCTTCCCAAACACCTTTACCACTGCCCCCTTAGCCCCTGCCTAATGAGGGTCATATCTTTCCCTGTTATCAGCTTTGGATGAATCCTGGGGATGAAGACACCTCAATGTTTCACTTTTCTAAAAGACAGATGGAGATGGATGTGGTTAACCTAAAGCCCAGCCAATTATTGCCTAGGTACTGAAAGCACAAGGGTGGGAACCCAGACTCAAAGACATTGATTTAACAAGATTTTTGGCAGTTGTTACTAGCCAATGAGGCAACCCAAAATGGTATAATCAGACCAGCCACCAAGGTTTCAAGCTAACTATATTGTCCCCTGGGCAAACAGAGCTTTGTGATCATTCACTTCTTAAGACAGCCCACCAAGTCCCTATCATAGACAGTGGGTTGCTAAAGCAATAGAGACCCCCAGCAGAGGAAGTCTCAGGACCATTCTTTCAGACATACTGATGACACCAATGGGTGCCAATGGAGATACTCTCAGTAGGAAGGGTCAGGAGCGCTGGGACAGACTAAGGAACACACTGCATGTCAAGAGAAGGGAGCCAACAGACCTATAACTCACAGTGCAGAGGTGCTTGGGAATCTCTCTCTCTCTCTCTCTCTCTCTCTCTCTCTCTCTCTCTCTGCCCCTCCCCTGCTTGTGCATATGCTTTCTCTCTCTCAAAATAAATAAATAAACTTTAAAAAATGTTAAAAAAAAAAAAGTCCCTAGTTAGTCACACAAAGGCCATTTCTTTATTCTCCAGTTTCTCCATTCCTCCTAATTCCCCAATTATTAAAAGAGCCTGGCAAAAGACCATAGCCACCTATGAAATGACTGCCATTTAAGGTAAATATAACCACAGAGATGGACATGAAACAAAAAAGATTTTATGTAGTATTTATTATTTTTTTTTTATCTCATCCTAATTTTGGCTTTATTCCTCATCTCCCATTCCCATTCTTTTCTTGGAAATTCAAACTTGTTTTTTTTAACAAAATGTTTAAAATCATGAGTAGATTTATAACAAAATTTCTTTCCTCCAAAGGGGGGGGGGAGGCAGGGGGAGACACATCTTTTATTCTTATGCAGCATCTTCAAATATGCATGTTAATATATATTTTATAAACGATTTAAAATAAAACCCTTCATCCTTTGAGGTTATTGATATTTTCTAGTTCACTGACACATCTCCCATAATACATTAATTCTATCCATCTTCATGAATGAGGTGGGAACTATACTAAAAAATAGGATTTTAATCCCTGAGGTGCCAGTTAAAATGGACAAGGTTGCCATTGCAACACAAGATTTTTAAAAATCAGCCTTAAATAATAAGCATAAATCATGCTATCTGGATGAGAATCACCTCCATAGCATGGGGTCATTTAGAAAATTGCATTTACTGGGTTAAGTTCACCCTGCTATTCCTAGCCTTCATGCCATGAAAATCTTCCTTTTGTAAAGGAATAACACAAAGCAATGAAGTCTGCAGAAACTTCTGAGATCCTCAGAAATCAAGAGAAACCACAGTCCCGTTTCTCTAATCTCCACCCACATTGTTGGAGAGGGTTTTCAGCACCGTTCCAAGACCTGGAAAGGTTGATGAACTGACTTGGGTTTTCTACTTCTCCATGAATTTAATCGAAAAGGAAAGATGAGTCCTCCTGTCTGGGAAATGGGCGTGTCCTGCTTATCTCTGCCCCCAGAGCTTAAGCAGAACTGCGTTCAGCCCTGTGCCCACCCTGCCGACGGACCCTGGCCCTCCCCGGCGGCTTCCTGAGACGCGGGCATCCGTTCCCGCCCCTAGTAGTAGCGGTTCAGGCTCCTGGTCCCGGGCACCTCCGGCTGGCCGTTCATCCAGATCTCCCTGATGATGCGTTCCCGCTCCTCCAGTCGCTGGGCGCGCTCCAGCTCCTCGGCCGAGGTGAACACGTTCTTGTTCAAAGTCCTCTCGAAGCGGCGGTGTCTCCTGACGGAGATGTCAGACGCTGTGTCCGAGCTGCCGTCGTCGCTGTCGCTGCTGTCGCTGCTGCTGTCTCGGTCCTGCAGGAACTTCTTCCGGGGACGCTGCCGGCAGTCTGTGTGGCAAGAGATCCTCATCACCAAGGCGGCCAGAGTGAGCACCAGCCCGATGCACACGCCGGAGACAAAGTACAGAGCTGCGCGCTCGGGGTTTTCTGCGGGAGGAAACAGAGGCATTAGTGATGTCGACTCCAGATGCGCAGAGGAAACAGAGCTCCCGCCCACCTTGCACACGTCTCAGCACACCTCAAAGTTCCGATGGTTACAATATTGCCTTCCTATGTGACAAACTGCATACTGTATTCAGAACATAATTATCAACAAGTACTGAATCTGGGTATAGGGTGTATGGGATTCTTTTCCTATATACTTGCAACTTTAAATTTGAAATAATTTTGAAAAAAAGATAAAAGAAAGAAAAGTATTATTTAGCACCTATTATAAGCACAAGTGTACTTAGATGTCATTTGCTTAAGAGATGTATGTGTCTAAGGGCACCTGGGTGGCTCAGTCGGTTAAGCCCATCTGGCTCTTGATTTTCAGCTCAGGTCATGGTCTTACAGTCCTGATATCCAGCAGGCTCTGTGCTAGGCATGGAGCCTGCTTAAGATTTTCTCTCTCTCTCTCTCTC